ATATATATTTATATATGTATATACAGAGGAAAAGAGTTTTTTTTTTTGCAATACTATGGGGGATTTTACAGATTGAGTTTGTACTCGGTGGCTAGCACAAAGTGAAAAAGCCAAGCACTCTTTTCAGTACTTACTTCACTTTTAGCAAATTTGTGCAACAGATTTCTATTTGTGACCACCAGCATTCCCGTTTCTACCCACGGCACAACTGTGTCACAATTAACAGATCTCCTCTCCTCGGCCAGCACACCAAATGCTAAACATTCCTTTTCAGGAAGAGTTTTAAAATCCAGTTCAGTAATTGGTGTAGAAACGGATGGCAGTCCCACCTAACACAAGTTAGCCTGTAAGCATCCTGACTGACACTAAAAAGGTTTGAGGATTGGGTGAAAATGTTGCTTTAGTCAACAGGTTCCTGTTTAAAGTGCTCAGAGAAGCTCAGGTGCTCCAGGCAGATAGACATCTTTTGCTTCTCAGTGTTCCGCAGGGACTGCTACTCAGTCTTTAGACCCAAATTAAAGCCTAGGAGCACCCCATTTTTTAAAACCTTTTAAAAAAAGGGCACCCTTTTCGTACCTTTATTTTCATTGCCCATTCCTGATATTAGTGGAAATTAGTACAGGATTCTCATTTAGCAACTCACAATTACTAATTTAAAACTATTAAACTTTGTGCTCATATAGCACAGCTTAGTGTCAGTCAGCATGAAAGTAAGAATTTAAGTGCATTATTACACATCAGTAAACATATATACATGCATAAACATGTTTACAATATATTTATCTTCATCTGAAAAAGTACACTGATACCTTATTTCACTTGTGCCATTAATGTGTAAATAGATGACATTTTCCAGTCCATGCAAAATAATTTTAAATTAATTGGCCAGATTTCCTCGTTTTGAAAACAGTATGGGTTTCTTCAATTCTTCACCGTACATTTAGAAAGACGACAACAAATCAGACAATTTCATTATTAGGGCTCATCGCAGAAATGGGGAAACCAAAAGCAACTCCCAAGTGCTGTACTTTAAAGATTGTTTAACTGCAGGCTGCTCCACTTCCAGCTGGACAGCCCTGCTGCAGTTTACAAAGCCACAATACTCAGACAGATCTAAGAACGGGTTAGACGTTTTCAGTTCCTGTAGCTTTGGTAGAGGTATTTAGTTTAAAAGTTTTACATTCCTCGTTTCAACATCTCATTTGCCTTATCCCAGGCTGCAGAAGGAAGGCTTTCCGGGATTACCATGGGCCACTCAATGCAAGAAGGATAACTGCAATTTCAGCTCTGTCTCAGTGAACAGGTCAGCTCACGCAAAGGCCCCAAAGAAGCCAAAAGCTATTTGGGAGGCAAAGGTGCCGGTCGAGAAGGAAAATACTGTCCCTGAGGTAAACATTTTTGCTGTGATGGAGGAGGTCCCTGAGGTGCACATTTCTGTTGCGGAGGTGGCGGCCTACAAGGGGGACAGAGAAGGGGGCAGTCGTCAGTCCAGGTGACTGCATCCAAAATGCACGTCCCTCTCCCTCTCACCGGGCAGTAGCACCGTGGCCACCGTGGAGACTCCCCCCCCAGCCAGCGACGCTGCTTCTCGCAATCTCAGCTTCTACGCTGAAGACTCATTTGGAACACACCATGGTCAGACTCTGCTTCCCATTGCCTGAAATCCTCTGGGAACCCCAGTTTGTTAACACGCCATTTTTCCCAAAATAGTTTAAAGACCCCCCACAAGTTTCCCACCAACACAAGCTATTTTGAAGTACTCCCTCTCAATACCTTGCACTTTCTGGATACGCATGTTTCATGGCACAGGCATTACATCTTAGAAATACAATTAGAAAGTAAAATGAAAAATAAAGGAAAACTTTCTGTTCAAAGTTAGTGAGAAATGATCCTGTACTTGGCAATAACGTTCACGAATCAGCAAAATGACAGATTTTTGAGTAATTTCTTTTTAAACTGCATATTTTGAGAAGCATTTTATTCACCTGTATACAAGGTTAATCTGTCCCCAGAAAAGCATTCTGAAACCTGTTAATCAAATTAACAGGTGTGAGAGTGTGTAAAATTAATGCTATGGGTAACAGCACTTCAGTTCCACAGTGTGAAATGAAGGAGAAACTTCTTTCAATAAAAGGTCAGTCCTGCTCGCATATAATACGTGATGAAACACCCTAATGCTTACAGAGATGAAGGCAATGACAATCTATATACATCAGCGCAACTGCCAATAGTTATTTGCAATAACTCAACCAACCTTGTCGGCAGCTTCTGTGGCTGTGATGCCTGGTATTGTGGAGACGGGTAGTAAGACTGGTGGTAAGCCTGCTGAGGATGCTGGTTAACTGGGTAAGATGGAACAGGAAAGGTATTTGGTTCCATATCCTACAAAGAAAACATACCGAGAACATTCACAATTTGCACTTAGGGAATTGAAATTTTTTTTCATTAGTTAAGTGACATTTAAGACCACTTGCAAACAAATCTGGAAACGTCAGAGTTGCTCCTTCCTTCTAAGAAACTCAGTAGAAAGAAGCAACGGCAGTCTGAAAAGTACTATATTTTGGAAAAAACAGAAAGGCTGATCACGACAAGTGTTTGTTTTGTTCTGCAAATGTCCTTTGGCTAGTTATTGCATCCAGAGAGATAACTGGTCTGCAAAGAAGTGGGGCTAGGGAGCTGGCAAGCATTGCTCCCCTCCTCGGGTGGGGTGGGGGGTTCTAGTGTAAGGGAAAGGGAGTAGCAAAGCAGGTAAACTGCTTGCCAAGCCAAGCACAGCCCATAAAAAAACAGTGGGAAACTGAGGAGTTCACACCACACACCTTAGGAAATAATTCTTCTCTTTGCCTCTTAGCAAAGAGGAAACCTGATTTGCACAAATGAAAAAATAAAGTAACTTTGAAGCTTTTATTAGGGCAAAAATTATATAAACTGCTTTCATCTGTTACTTTAGAGTAACAGATAGCAAATAAAGTAAAGTGGATCATTCCTACCATGGGAACACCTCTTGGAGCATAAGGCATGCCGTGTGAAAAGCCTCTGTGGTGGTAGTCTCTTGGTTCAGTTTCTGTTCTAGGAGGTGGTGACTGAAGTGACCTGAAACCCAATCGATACGGACTGCGTGAGCATATAACCTTGACAGAATGACTATGCAGGCTAAGAATCCAAGCACTTCGAACCTGTTAGATGGATTTATACTATCTTAGTACATATAAAATGTCAGGAAGATAGTATTTGCCATACCTAATAAGCAACATAACCCTTTTTCTGTTTAGGACTATGGCAGCTTCATTTTGCCACTTTATACCAAAGATGGGACCCAAAAATATAAAACCCATCACCAATGCACGACAACAAACATAATGGTAAAAAGAAAGTTCTCTGCTCCCTCAATTTAAGATGAATTTATCTTTTCTGTCATTGCCCGGGGCAAGCTACATGCATCATTTGATGCAGGGGCCTTTGCCAGACATCTTGGGACTGGAATATGCCTCCACACTTTGGCATTGGCTTGTGTAAACAAATGTCTATGGACTACTTCAAAAGGGCAGAAGAGAAGGTAAAAAGGACAATGTACTTACGAATGGCAGCGTGACATTAATCTTCTACAGCATCGCTTCAGCCTGTCTCTTTTTGCAAATGCCAGAGCAGCAACTATAAGGAGTGGGAGGACCAGGAAAAAAAATACCAGCAGTCCATTTCTCAGTGAGGTGTCTTTGTCTGATGGGGACAAAATGACAGAGAAGAAAAAAAAGTATTACATGGCGTTACCACCACTTGACTCATTGTAGCAGTGAATATTTGGTAGGATCCGTTCTACAACTATTTCCCATTTTTCATAGAAGAAGAAACTAAAGAATCTAGTAAGACTGCAAGATATATGCCCAAATATATTCTTTTCTGATTATCTTTTCACAGGAATTGGCTGGTCAAAGATGAAAGAACCATACGTGCCGTGATACCCTGGGCTATAACAGCATATTGAATTACTAGATCAATACCTAATTTTTCTTCCATTGCATTACTGTGAAGATCTTATGAGCTGAACTGAAAGAGAGGAAAACAGAGCGTCTGCCCTTTGGTCTGATCCTAAATCTTCCTCTTCTCCTACCATTGTTTGCTGTAGGCAAAGAACTCAGGTTCTTAACAATCTCTAAATTTTTATATGCAGCAAATTTCTCCACTGCAGGCTGTGCAAAAAAAGCCTTTCCCTTTTTTTGTCTGATGATTTGAGGCATCTGTCCATGCTCCAATGCGATTATCCAGTCTGTTATTGCATCAACAGAGTGTCTAGCTTCCCCCAAAACCCGCACCATCTTATGAAAAACAGTCTTCAAGATCATTCTTGCAGCTTATAAGAAGGGACTACATCAATCCCATCTTTATATACTCCACATGGGCATTGCACAAGTTTTCTCCAAATTATAGCTTCCTATTTCATCTTCAAACTGTCAGTGAGAAAAGTAAGCTTCACAGCCTCTTTCAGTTTGCTTTTTCACGTGCATGGATTGTGCTCCCCTGCCCCAGGCACCATTTTCCCACTCTTCACATTCAAACATAGATACATATATCTTCCAAGTACATAGATACATCATCTTGCCATGTCAAAGACTGACCTAGTACCTTTCCTGGGGGGAAAACTACATGAAAAAATTCCCTCCCCAACCCATCTTTTCCCTCCACAAAAAAAAAAAAAAAAAAAAGCAAATTGGAAATCTGCAAACAACATAGTGTCACAAACCTCTGTATCTCCCCGTTTCTTTATCACGTACCTCTCTTCTATACCAAAAGTTGTTTGGGGCAGGGACTACATTTGTATGTACTACCAAACGAAGCATGCTGTCTGCACTCAAATAATAAACATAAATAAAATAGTGACTTGTCAACATGCGTTGCCCTAGCCCACCTCGGCCAGATGTTAGTCCTGCCTGCGCTGCAGGTGCACATGCAACTACCTGCAGATACCAGAACAGGGCAGCTACTCATCTCTGCCACCACTGCTAGAAGCAGCATGTCCTTAGAGATGCAGATTCACGTCCACGGATTTGAACCCACATCCTCAGCCAAATTTCATGTTTTGTTTGGATCTAAAAATGGAAGGGGCTTCAGTTCCCAGCTTGGATACAGAGAAGTCCAAGAGGATCTTGGTCCAAGGTGGCAGAAATCACCTGAAGGCAATTAAACCAGCCCAGTTCCTTTACAGATCCCCAGCATCCCAAAAGAGAGAAGTGCACCACCTTGAGCCCAAAACCTTAACTAGAATTGTCTGCAAATGAAACCTGGTGAAGAGCCAACCACCAGCACTTCAGCCACAGCAGTCAGCTGCTTGAGAGCCAGCAGGCACTCTGCGCTCAGCCCAGCACCACCCTTAGCGAGACAGTTGCCTTACAACTACGTGCCATTATAAGGAGGTCCACTGTCCAGACTTCCTCCGTAGCCTTTAGTATTACAGTAAGGAGGGGCCCAGCCTGCTTCACAGTGACAGTTCCTGTTGTTGTTGCACACCTGTATTTAAACAACACAATCATCACAATAAGGTCTACTGAGTAACTTAAGTTTCCGTACATTTAAAAGCAGCATGCAGTAGCCATGACTGTCTATTCTGTCCCTTCCATATCACTCAGCCTGGAGAACTTTAACCAGTAACTCCCACGTCAATTCTAAATAGTCCTTGGCCAGGCATCTCAAGATTTCACATGACTGAGCAAGCATAGCATTGTTCAGGATGAGCTTCCAAAGACGAGCTATCCCAACGGTTTAAAGAGCATGGCTTTTTCTTTTTTTTTTTGTGAGATGCAGAGTTTCAAATTACATTAGTAATACTGGAATTGGGAATTCTTCTTCTCTGGCAAAAAAAATATCATCTTAAGAGCTTTTGTCAAAGATTTTTTTGATACTGTTATAGGCTCTCTTGCCCAGAGACATTTTACAGAGTTTTACAGTTAAACAAAACAGAAAAATTGAGTTACTATCCACCATTTTAAAACTCGCTCAACTTACATAACTTTGGTCCAATTTTTGCTGACTGTTAAAGGCACTTTTCTCGTTAACAGTACCAAAAAGCAGCTTTTTATAGCAAAACCCATCCTCAAGAACGCCACAGAATTTTTTTAATCGCTGCATCTAGCATCATGATTACTTTATTCCACATTAGTTACAGCCTTAAACAGAGAAGGGCAAAAGACTTCTAGGTGCAAAAAAGACTAATATATAGACACTATTGATTAAGCACAATCAACAGTGTACCTGGCTCAAATGGGACTTCTGATTAAAAAAGTCTGTTTACGTATTTGCGTGGTCATTGGCTCTAAAAATCTAGTGTTCTCGTAACAAAGATGTCAGAGGACCTCACGTAGAAATCCTGCCAGTTATATCAAAACTTACAGACTTAGTGTTCGTTGTAAGTGGACTATCAGTAGGAGCGGAAGCTCTTGCTCCACTTACCCCATGTCCGTGACACTGCCTCTCCACGTCACAGTCGTAGTTCAGAACAGAGGCGCTCACGCACTGGAAGTGCCTGCAGATCTAGGGGAATTGAGAGATGCACACAAATGAAGCAAGGTAGCATTTCACTGACCTACCCCTTCTTTCCCCTCCTGCGTTCCCCGGCTGCCTGCTCCACAGCGCACGGCTCTGCAGCCACTCTCTGCTCACTGACCACAAAGCAAGTCTCCTACTCATGCGTGATAAAGCCCAACTCTACAGAAACACGTCTGTTCTACAAAAGGCTTCTCAGTATGGGGTCTGAACTGTCACTGGACGTCTTTTGTCTCTAGTCCGAATGTAAAGGAATAGCAATTAAATTGTGCACAGTAAGGATATGTGGAATGCACATTCCTCTGCTGGGGCTAAGCTTCTAGGCTTTTTAGTTTAGTTGTCTTAAGGGCATTTCTGTGCGCCTAGCTCTTCCTCCTCATTGACAGAGCAAAGATTCTGGCTCTCAAACTTCCTTTCTTCATCTATAAATGAAAGGCTTATTATGTTTTTTAGGCACATGCACTGCAGTACTAGGCAGTGTGGGGAACCAATGGACTCGCTCAGTTTTGCATTAACTACAGGCATCAAAAAAATTAATGGCCATAAATATTCATGAAACAATGCAGCTGAAAATTTTATTCACATGAAAACCCCAAATTTTTACTTTAAGAAATCACTTTTTAATTGTTAATTACCTTTCCAGTATCACATTTGGTGCCTTCATTCACCATTCCTGGGTCCGGGACATCAGAGCCTAGCTGGAAATCTACACCCCAGCACGTGGTGCCTCTAATGGGAGTTTGGATAATAGCAGGCTTAATTCCAAAAACAGGCATAGTTTTCACATTTTCACATTGCAGCTTCCCACACATGGCATTCCTACAACATCAACATATGAATACTGTAGCGACACTTGAATTTATTCTGAGAAAAAGACTATCAACGCATTTGTTATGATCTTTTCTTTCTACTGGAAGACACTACTTGAAAATAAAATTGAGACAACTTGCCAAACAAAATTGAGCTGGGCCTCATTTCAGTGCTGCAAGAGTATGGATTTATCCCTTCTTTCTGTAAGCTGTTGGGATCTTTACATTAAAGAAAACATGATGATTTGCTACTTGTTTCTCTCTATGTGAACACCTTAGGATAAGAACAAATCAATGATCGGAGATGTGGAACACACTCTCCTTGCCACAGCCCCACGTCTGAATGCGTGACAGACAGATGCCCTGAGGCCACAGAACACCGCACGCACGGGAAACTGCGGCACGAGCCCGAAAGCTTCAAACCCAGCTTCGGAAGAATTGCCTGAACATTCAAACTCATTTCAACTATCATGTGCAAGAGCTAAAGCCAGACAATCTAAAACAAAAGTCAACAAAACTTACAATTGCGTAAGTGTGGGGGCTTTAAGTGCTAATAACAGCTTCAGAAATTAGGATAAAACACATCTTTTCTAAGCTATCTCACTGTGGTTTCAGAATGATGCATACATGTCAATAAGGTTACATTGTGGGATAACATGTTTCTCCCCAGTGCACCTGCTAAAACACCCAAAAGTAATACTACAGCACCCAAATAAGGATTCTCAATGATACATTTAGGAACTTCTTGATGCACTGGGCTCAACTCACCAGCTGGAACATTTCTTGTAGTCATGGCCATGGAAACCACAGTTGCCAAATCTGTCACCCTTGGAATTCACTTCAGCAAAACAAATGTTGGGGGCTGCTTTGGCTTCTGCAAACAACAGCCCATCCCCCAGACAGAGGAACCAAGTTAAACAGGGACAGAAACATCTCATATCATCATGTCTCCTTTACACAGAGCAATTACCCTTCTACACCTAGTATTTTCCAAGCAGCACAGAGCGCTTAAGAACTCAATCAAAACAATAAAGAGGTGAAAATGTCAGCACTACAAGGTTCCAAGTTTAAAAAGAGAGAGTAGTCACTTAACATTGAGTCAATTATACCATTTGATATTTTTTCATGGCTTCTTTACAGCTTCATACACTGGAAGCCCCACTGTAATAGGAATGATCAGTGCAAGAAAATTACTACTTGAATCACCAGCACAGCATTAAACTTAACAAAGGAAGAATGTGTGAAGGCTAAACCATAAATACCACTATTTCAAATCCTTTGCCAAAGCCAGCTGGTCTTTATTACAGGAAAACAAGTAAATATATTTTAAATAAACTTAGTATATTCTTTTAGCTACATCTCCTAGAAAAATTGTAACACTGGGCTCTTCCTTACTTGAGCCAAAGATATCCTGACACTGTGCATCGTAGTACTGGCAAACGCCATTGTAACAGTAGGCTTCCTCGTTATGGCACGGGTGACCGTTCTGAACGGTGAAGTCCGGCTGGCAGAACTGGGATGTGCCGTTGCAGTACTCTGGAAGGTCACACTCATTGTTACTCGCCCGACACTCGGTTCCTCCAGGAAGGAGCTAAAGAGAGAGAGGAGGGGGAAACTGCATCAGAAAATAGAAACTTTAGAGACGAACACTGCACCCGACCCACAATATGCCCCCAAAAAAAGGGCATTGATCTGAAGCCCTCGGTGGTGCTGTGTACATGAGTGACAATTCCCCCTCACAGATGCACTGGCTAGGCTAACTCTCTCCTTTTCCTAACCACTGAAGAACACTTCCAAATATTATGTTTGAGTCTCTTACCCGGCAGTTTTTACAGCAGTCACCATAAGCACATTCAGCACCAGATCGAAGTCTGCAAGTACCTGGTTCACAGCAAGGATCACTTTCACATTCCTGAAAATAGAAGTGCCGTGAAATGTCAAGAAATCGCACCCTCTGCCATGCACAGTCCCCTCTCCAGCGAGGGGCACGCAAGGCTACCCTGGCAGCATTTGTAAACCACACAAGCTACTAACCTTTGGTGAACCACAGTCACACTCCTCCCCAGCATCTACCAGCCTGTTCCCACAGTACGGGACGCTATAGGTTTCATCAGGCTTGGGAACGTTGAGCAGGCAGCTTCCACCTTTGTTGAGAGTTAGCTTCTCAAAGTCTTCTGCACTGCAGCTGCTGAAGTTCCTCGATCCCCTGCAACAGAGAACATGAGCTTATCTTTAAGTCAGCCCACAATCTCAGTTTGTAGAACAAGGGTAACATTTGCTTTCCCCATGAGCTGCAAGCGTGACATGACTCTTTGCAAGAGTATTTTGAAGATGAAAGCAACCTGGAAAAACTAAGCGCATGGGTGGGGAGTTCTGACCCTCAGAAAATGCTTTCCCTTTTGTCAGTTACTTACGATGCTCCAGAGCTCATAATACAACTGCTTGCTCCGCAGTGACAGACACGTTCATCATCATGGTTCATCCCCAGGTTATGTCCCAGTTCATGAGCCATAATTGATGCAAACATCTGTATACTGATTCTTCCAAACTGCACAAGAGCAAAACAGAAAAAAATTAGCGGACAGCTTATATTGAGAAAGTCAGTGTTTACTTATGTGCCAAAAAGACACTTCTATCATTCTCTCTCTACATTAACAGGATTCTCAGACCAACTGTGCCTGCTTTCCAACCATGTGCGTGTCATTTGCTTAGTAATAAGAGTCCTTAGATAAACATATTTGGGACACTACCTAACAACCTCTACTTTCCAGTGCAGCTGCAACATTAACACAAAAACTAGAGTTCCCCACACCAGCCCAAATCTCCCTAAACATGCAAAGTCCAATTCCAGTACTTCTGTCATTAGTCCAAGAAAACAAGATTGCTGGGATTGCCAGTTATCCGAGATCAACAATTCAGTTCATTAACGCTCTGCAATTTCACATAAAGAGGGCAGTCAACTGGCACTGCTCTAGGAGTTCACGACTGTGGAGGTCAAGCAGACACCAGAGGACAGATTTGAGAACACCCACAGCTCCCACATACTTCTAAGGCAGGGGCGCTTAAAATGTCAGCAGAAAAATCCTGTCCCTTTTTCATGAGTGCTGCACACTGAGGAGAGGGAAGGCTGAGCAGAGGATGCAGAAAACTACAGAAAAGTTGTGATCCAGATACCACGGAAGTACCAGAAATGGTTGGGGACCACAAAAAAGCCCCCACTAAACCACTTCAGCTTTGTTATTAAAGATTGTGCACTTCCAGGAAGACTTCTGGAGTGCAAAACTCGTATCTTGATCCCATTCACAATATCGCTAAAGATATCTCACCACATTAATGCCTCCTGCGTGGCTCTTGGAGCACACTGTTCCAACATAGGCCATTCCAGCTGTGCCACCAAACCCCTTCTTCCTGCAGCCATGGGGACAAAAAGGAAAGGCAATCATCCCGACTGTACAGACAGACGATACTGCCAACAATACAGCCCATCCACACAGCCACTCAGTACATCGCTTCTGCTTGTGGGGCACAAAATACTGCTTTTCCAGCTTTCCAACGCTAACAAAGGAGCACTGCTAGGAGCACTACTATTGACTGTGGGTATGAATGTACCAATTCAGCTTTATCTTTCTGTTCATGGTTCTTTTATTCTTTTAAATTAAGACAAGAGTTTGCAGAGGAAGTTATCCTCTTCCACATCTTCCCTCTAAATATAAAGAGCTAAATGGTCCACCCTTATAATCATTTGTTTTAATTGGCTGTTAGCTGCCTTTGTACTCCATAGAGATTGCCAAACTCCATAGATTTCTTTCCTTGTTAACTTCCTTTTCATTACTGCCTTATTTTGTTCTACACAGTTCTTAAAGCTTAAGTGCAACAGAACAATACACCACATTTTACTTCATATAAAATAATTTTAAAAATGAGTATTTTTTCAGCCATTTCACCCTCATCACCCGAACAGTGCTGTTCTGCCTTGGAGGAGAAGAGGCTCCCAGCTCCTGCGGGAAGGGGAGCTACCGCTTCACACAAGGGCAGGCTGGGCTGTCGTCCCGTGCGACGCGTGCTCTCGCCTCTGCCCCTTCTCGTACTTTGGGCAGTGACTTCCTAAGGACCGCGCTATCTGCGGGAGCGGGAAGTGCACAGGGGCACACGTCCTGGAAGCTGGGGAGAGACGACAGCTCAGGGAGCTCTGTGCTAGTTTAAGACAGTAGGGACGGACAGATTAACATCACGTGTCAAAGCTCAAACCACGTAGCTAGCTTCTGGATACCAACTGCAGAAACAACTTTCGCTCCATTAAAGTGCAACGCTCTGCACCAGGTTTATGCTCATTTTCAAGCAGAAAAAGCCCTACATTACAAGTCTAACCAGTGTACAACCTGACAAAGGATTATCTGAATGGAAGCTTTACAGAATACAACATATAACATTGCAGGACATGCGGGACAGGAAAAAAAGATATTGCTCTTACCAATGTACCTGTCAGAGAGGACACTGAATTCAAGGACCACAGAAACCTTCTTAAAAATGCTTAAGTTGACTTGTAATGTTTTCACAAGTACATAAACCACAGCAGATTGCACTGGGTTCTCTGCTGAAATACAACGGCTACTTTTGATACCAGAGCATGGCTGAGCAGACAGGAATAGAATAAGCTTCTTAAGAGTCAAAGGGAGGGAACTGCAACTCACAGAACAAACTGGGCACTGTCATGTCTCCGGCGCAAAACAAGATTCTTCTCTCGCCACTGTACAAAATTTGCCAGCACATCACCAGCACCTCCATCTGTGCTAATTATGTTTTCATACTTCCAAATCTCTAGACCAACCAGCACAATGCGGATGTTCAACATGATGTACATCTGGGGAGGGAAAAAAAAAGGAGAAATATTTCAGATAAGAACAAGTGGTCTGGTGTTATATATCTTATTGCAAGAATCTACTTTTTCTGTTGGTTTTTTTGTTGTTGTTGTTTGGTTGGTTTTTTTTTTTAATTTAGTACACAATTCAAATCACCAGAATGCATTTTCCCTGTGATTCAGACTTTCATTAGCTACAGGATCAATAAGAAAATCCAAAACAGAAATAAAAAGGAGTCTCAATCCTGACAAATAGCATCATCTGAAACAGTCAAGTTGAAAGACATGCTTTTTCCTCTAACCTTGACAAATACTTAAGAATTGCAATAATTGCCAACAATCTGTCCTGTCTCTGACTGTATGTAGCACAGGTTGGAAGAGTTCCCTAAATTAATTCTCAAGTATGATGATTGCAGATGAATTTAGAGGTGGAAAAGCTTTCATAGTGATGCATTCACCAAAGCCCACTGTCAATAAATACTCCCATCGCTTTGCAGCCCCTGCTCCTCTGGCACTCCCCTTCAGCACAATGTGCAGGCACAACTCTGAGTTCTATCAAAATGATGGCCGAGGGAACAGGTTTAGCTCCTGGCTTGATAAAAACCCCTATTTCATTCTCACCAAAGTGGTAACAGAACAGACTCCAAGGTGGAAGTTTATGCAAGTAAATAGAGCTGCAGGGCTGCTGCACACAGCATCACTCCCACTTACGCACAGTGTCTTTAACTTACACTGTCAAGGAAGTTTGCCAATTGCACCATGTGTTCTCTTACTTCTGTTTCACTCTTCCCAAAATCTTCAAACTGCAAGACAAAGAAACTTAAGTCGTGAAGAGATAAAGACAAGTGTTAGAAAAAGGAACAAAACATTTTAAGACTAGTAACATGAAAAACATTTTTGCCTGGCTCCAAATCTCCTGTCAAGAAGATGCTAATCAAGACAGCAGCATCTTCATTGCTATTGCTCAACATGCAAGAGAAAACAGCAAAGGCAGTTTTTGCCACATGTTTTCCGTACATTATTAGATTCCTTACTGATAGAAACTCTTCCATAGAAACTGTCTGACAGTTTACTCTTTTCCTGAAGAGTATCGTATAGAACATGTTTATTCAGTTTTAGGTTAGCGTATTTGCATAACCTTGGCTAAAGTGTCAGTGTCTTTCAACAATCCATTTGGGAGTAACGATGACTGAGGGCTTTCCAAGCCATCTCCCAGGAAGTAGGAAGGAAAGCGACACACAATCCCTACCTTTTCTTTATCCACAACTATAAACAGCTCCACATATCTTGTTTGATGTAGGACTGCTCTCTTTCTCTGCAGAAAAAAGTTTTAGAAAACTTCAACTTTATTAATTCAAGTGTAAACAAAAAAATCATGACACTGTCATATTTCACTTGATACAACTAGTGGTTTGAGAGCCACACCCAAAGCACGCTGTGCCAAGACGAAAACAAGCCAAAACCAAGAAGTGTAATCCAATGCAATGACAATTTCTCTATAAGTGTTTTACACTAAAATTTAGCTGCACAAAGATTTCCCATGTTTCAAAAGCGAGAGACCTTTTTACTTTTCACACAGGTTTCTTTAGAAAGACAGCATACATTTTTATAAAGGAGCAGAAAGATACTAACAAGCAAACGCCAACAACCTTGAAGCGAAACACAGCGTTTTTCATACTCCTGCTTCTACTGCAATCTTGTTCCTGTATAGCCAGTCTTTAAATGACAAGGGGGACCTTCACCAAACTGTTATTCTGATGGTTAGGAGAATGGAATAAACAACACAATATTCTCCTGGCTTCTGATACAATACTTTGTTAATGAGCCTCTCCAATGAGGGTAGTGTTCCTGCCCTTAAAAGCCCCAAAAAGCTCCGCCCATGAATAATCTAGCTAGCCACTCGACTCTCACTGCTGTGTGCAGAAGCAGAAGGAAATTGCAATTGCTTTGTTGAAGCAACTGAGTTTTTCAGCAGTGTAGATAGCCCTCTGAATCAGAAACCTTTAGGTATGTGTTAAACCCCAGGAAATCTGATAAGCTGCTTCCATATTCTTAGCTGAACACTCACAAAACGCATTATAGGGGACTGGGGAGAAAACAGTGGAGTACTTACTCGCAGCAGCTGAGTCATACTGGGATGGTGATTTTCCTCTGTATGTTCCCTTTCATGGTCTTCGGTGGTTACTCCACACATCGTGGGCTCTTTCTTCACATTATCCAATCGATATAAAATGTGTTTAGAGCCAGAAGAGGAATCCATGGGCTCAATTCCATAGGTGATGTTCCCTATTGTCACCAAACCCCTAAATATGGTAGTGTGTAAGAAATTCTTGCATTAAGCACAGAGGATAGTTACCCAGATTTTTACAGTAAAACAAAGGAACAATTATTCTTTGATAACTAAAGGCATGTCTATATCTCAGTCCTTGCAAAACAGCATGCTTCATTTCAAGCCCAAAAGCAGCCTTTCACTGGATAGCGCCTTCACAAATACAGCGAATTAAACATTTTTGTGAGAGTCTGCAATGCCCAAGAAATTAAGTCACAGGCCTTAAGCAAAAATGCTTTAGTTCAACTACTGTTGCCCCTTTGGTGTTTGACATGGCATTGCAAAAAAATCAAAGTCCCAAAAGATATGGAAATTAGCCCAAAGCAGAAAAAATTTCCAGTCAAATTTGATGTCCATAAGCTATAGGGCCAATTTTGTAAAATTTGCAGACTAGAGTTCGACTTTCCATTTTTGCACTATGTACAGTTCTTTGTAGTGACCATCTATCCAAATTAGAGAATAAGCCAAAATTTGTGTCAAAGAACGACTTACTGTACTCTGATAACAAATTGTAACTTCTTTAATGGTATTTCAAATATCTATTAACTACATGAATAAAAGATACCACAGAAAGACTGCACAAAGGCATACACTATTGCAGCTTGGCCCCGGTCGATGAATCCCTGTCTGGCTGAACAGTAGTTAAAAACAGAGCAAGGATTTTGTTTCAGGTTCAGCGAGTCGCAAGACTCACGTGACAACAGGGACAAAAGACAAGCTGTGCTACCTGAGCCCCGAGCAGGTGCTGACAGCAACCACAGAATCCAGGCTCCCCTCCACGTATCCCTGATAATGGCAGTGATCCTACATGGGAAAACAAGGGCGCATTACACACATATTCCACACATATCTGCATACCCAGTGTGATCTCTGATCGCGTAACTGCTATGCCTGTCACTGACTCGCAGTAGGTATAACTTGAGAACATAATATGCTTTAAGTTAAAATTTACCACATGCCTTCTATCTACAGTCTGTAGCTTCAAACATGCCTCTAGCTCTACCACAATGTAACAGCTTTTCCTTCACTAACGTACATCTAAAAACTTCCTCACCTGCCTTAGTGCCACAAGGACTTACACATACAAAGCTAATCAAGATGCCAGGGGCACGGCACTCCAACTGGATCCCTACCTCCCTATTCTGTAAAGCAGATTCTCTTCACAACTCAGTGGGGCCGGCAGTTTGTTACACATTTGGGTTTAAAATCCCACTTGCCCACTCATTCTACCTGAAGCCGGATTCAGAGCCGGCGCTGCCAACATGTTATAAATACCAGGCAAGCAGGGCTCAGAAGCATTATCTAGCAACTGGATTTCTTAACTTGACCGTAAGCCATCCTACTCTTGAGTTCTGTCCTCCACCCTGCCTCAAATATTTTGAGGCCAGCCCCTCCCTACCGATTTGAGCCAAATCGCCACTCAGTCCTGCAGAATGTTTGATTTGTACGTAACCTCTCTCCAGCGAGAAGAGGGCAACACCTGCTACCCTCACCAACAGGCGCTGTGCTGCCGAACTTTTTGGTTGCGCAGTACATCCCTCATCAGCCCTGACGAGACAGAATACTTCCATTTTGTCCTCTGTATATACACATTTTGGAAACTAGACAAGGTGGTGGTAATGAGCAAATACACTCCATTTTCTCTGGCAAGTGCATTTTTGAATGTTATTACAGGGGTCAGGTAGATTATGTCGCCTGTTGTTTCAGCAACGAATGCAGAAAGCGCTGAAGGCATGTGCTAATCCTTCAGGGCCACTGTGACTTCCATGACCTCGTGCAGAAAAAGCATTTTTCCTCTTAGTCAATCACTTTTAACTAGGAAGTAAATACTCAGTTGACTCAGCTGCTCTATTTTCAAAAACAAGACCCTATGAATCATATATGACTATCACTTCCCTTTCAAAGGAACAACGTTGATACAGAAGCAGAGTGAAGCCATTAGAAATACTCTCATGCTTTTTGTATCACACGAGCTGCTTTTTACTCTTATTCTGCAGAAGCAATTAAATTTTCAAAGGCAACCTATCAGGCAGCCTTCTTCTACAGAAACAGAGGGCTGCAACTGCTCTTTCAGTGGAATAACTCCAATGCTATGCAGATAACATCCTTCTCAAAGGTCCTCCAGGCTTGATCTCATCCATCCCTTCTAGTAGTTCCTAAATTTCTGTACTAATGGATAGCCTGTCAACCCTCAAAAATTCTTAGAATCACTAACAGACAGCCTCACACAACTGAAAAGATGGGTCAGCAGCTGACCATTCATTTTGGCTTGTGGACCAATCTGGAAGACTATTGTGTGTAAAAGTAAAAGCTATATATTCAGTCACTAGACCACCCCAGTCCTGCTCCGTGTGTTCTGGTCCCCGTGAGAAGCAAGGCCTGTGTCCAGAAGCGATACCAACACTGCACTGTGCTGCACGACACGGACAGCACCACTTTCAGATAACGAGACACCTGACAGCTAAGAGGAGCATTTCGTTTTCAGAGAAGAGTAGCTTTTAATTACATAGCAATCACCTCCACATAAGAAAATACGGGCTTATTACAAGCTCTGGGCTAGAGCCTCATCCAAAATCAAGGCTTCTCTCCAGGAAGAGTGCAGCGTGTGCACGGGATTAGAAGGTGGCCCAGTGAAAAATACAACTACCATTTTGTAACACGGCTCCCTCATCCTGTAGATGCTCAGTGTTCAAGTCACCTTCAGTAAGGGTATAAAAAGAAAGAAATCCTACCTGGATATCTGGATATTCAGATTGCAACTTCCCCTCCTTATTATAGGTATAAACTGTGAAATCTTTGGGCAGCAGTTCTCTGTAAGGAAAGGGGAGAAGGAGTACAAGAGGAATTTCATGAAATGACTACGACACTGTAACAGGGCAGTAAGATGATCCTAATCAAAAGTGTCACAAATACATAAATTGCAATTAAGTAAGGAAACATTCAAAAGGAAAACCCACCAAAATTAACAAAGAAATTATGCATTTCCACAGCAAAATCCAAGATATCAGAATGGCAGAACCGTTAATGAAATCAAATCAACCACCTCACACCGGGTAAGTAAAACAAGCATCAAAACCCGTTAAATTGTGCTTAAAAGCTTGCTTTCATGCAGAATTAAAAAAAAAAAATCAGCACTCAGTCTGCTGCCAATGACTTCTCTTCCCCAGTTTTGGAAGGAAGTGCATGGGGAAAGGCTCCCACGATTAAGACTGCTGACCCATACTGGTAAATCCATTGATGCAGTGTAGCTGAATTCCCATGTTTCCGAGGGTCAGGGGCTTGGCAAGTGGCAGCTAGAGATCCCCAGGGGCTTGTACATTTAAACAGTTATGTTTCTTTTGTCTATTATGAGGGCAGTTTTAAGAAGCAATAGCCTGATAAATGGTAACTTGCTGTTGCTGCAAGTAGCCCTTTAAAAATTAAACTCAGGACAGACAACATCTATATTGTCATTGTATGTTATGGATATTAAAGCCTTGGATATAGTCAGCTTCCTCTTTTATTAGTATTCTTGTGCTACTGAGACAGGAAAAAAAACCCCTGAAACAATAAACAAAACCCAGAAGAAAGTGAAAATATTTACTTGAAATAGAGTTCAGTTTGTTTATTTTTAGACGTGAATGGAGAGAGTCTTTTCAACGATTCCCCAGATCCCCTTTGAGCAAACCACTGCTTCCTTCACTGAAAGGGCATCACCAGGGTTGCCGGAGTTCAACAAAATTTCTCACTGATAGCCAAGACTGTGTGACTGAATCCACTTTTGCCGTCTTTCTCTGTAGATTTCGCAGAGCTAGCATGTAACTGCAGTTCTCATAAAGAACCTCAAGAATTTGAACTCGCATGCTACCTGTCAGCTTGTTATTTGGCCACAACAGATGGAATTTATGATCTAAAGAAATTCATCACTTACTTGTTCTTTTCTAGATGAATCGTGTATTCTTTTCCCTCTATCTCAACAGCATACAACACCTTGTCCTGAATATAAAAAAAGTTGCATTTTACTCATGTTACTGAATAAAACATTCTTTGAAATCAACAGAAGTTTGGCAGAAAACAGTCTCTGCAAGCTCCATTACTGTTACGACTATAGCATTCAAATCACTACTGTCACCTTCCATAACTCAGGACTAGTCTGTATTGTTAGCCTGTATAGATACAGCTGTAGTTGCTGGAGATGCAGCTCATACCAACAAAATTTAAACCACCTCCTACAGGGATGCAAAAGTCTCAATCTGAGCTGCCTCTCCCATCACGCTTCTTGCTGGTACCCCAACGCCGGTCAGGGAAGCGGGTGTTCCTTGTGCTCCTAGCCAACTTCACTGAGCCCACAAGACTTCGCAATGAGAAGCTGACCACAGGCATCAGGATTTGCTCTAGTTCCCCTGACATCCAGCAGACAAAATGGCTGCCACGTCCATGCATTGAAATTGCCAGATACTGAGCTAGTAAACTTTCCTTCTTCCATCTTGCTAGTTGCTCCAGACCAGGAATAACCACGTGTGGGCATGCCTGAAGCCTACTTTGCAATTGTCCCTACCTCTGGAACCTGGCATCCCTTCCTTTGTAACTGGGGAAAAGTCACGTGAAAGAAGCCATTTCAAAATAGCTTTGTGGTTTTTCTTATTCCTTCTTTCTAAGACTTCCACAGAAAAACTCGTAGTTACAGCTGGAAAAGGACAACACCGTTTTATTACTGAACATTCACAGTGAGCCAGTACCTCCACAGCCTTACGTTGGCCAAGTGCTACACACAGCAACTAGGGCCCTGAAATATTAAGTGGATAAGCTGAATCACCTGACCACTACATTAAACATCACACCAGGAGCACTAGTCAACGACTGCAATAAACTGCAAGGCATTTTTGTTAATATTAAATTCTGCCAATGTTTATAAGATTTGTGACTAAACACAGTTGCTCTAATCCAAAAATTTTGAAGAGTGCAGTCTTTAGTTACGCGGCTACAGCAGAATAATATAGGCTGGAAAGTACCGCTGGAGGTTGTCTAATCCGAGCCCCTGCTCAAAGCAGGGCCAGCTACAGAGTTGGCCCAGGCTGCTCAGGGCCTCCTCCCGTCAGATTTTGAGCATCTCCCAGGATAATGATTCCACCACCGCTCCAAAACTCATTCCAGTGCTTAACAACTCTCATTACAACTTTTACACACAGATCAAAAATTCATTGCAGCAACTTGTAACCTCTGGAGCAGGGAGGTATTTACCGTAACTCAGCTAAAGGCAATGCTAGGGGTAATACCTTTTGTAGGGATGGATACTTGTTTGCTGCTAGATGAGTCCGATAGTGTCTTGTGAGAATTTCAGGTTCATATGATTAGGAAGTAGATACTAAACTGAAGGCATTTTTAAGACTGCCCAGTACCTGTACTGAGGAGACATTGGAAGCCTCTCGCCGTTCTCTTCCTAACCTCTGCGGAATTACAACTTCATAGGAAGACAACAGAGAAACCTGCTGGAAACCTAGAAAGCAGAACAAAAACACTGGATAAAGAAACAAAGCAATAAGAAGGATAAGGTGCAAGGAAGAAAACGCTATTTCAGGAAAAGCTTTTAGGAAGGAGCCAGCCTGTGATTCCAGTGCAGGTCTCCAACTTATCACAGACCCCTGAAACTGGGCTGCTCAGCGCGGGTCTGCAGCACTGCGCTGGGCGGATTCCTCTGCCACTAGACTGGCATCGTTTCTTATCGCATACTTACAAGCTCTACTTTTAAGAAACAACATAGCACCACATTGCCAAGGCACCACAAGCGTTTAGAGAGCTGTAACCCAAACAGAAAAAGCCAAAGGCCCTGATGCACATAGGAGAGCACAGAGCAAATCTCAAGAGCAAAGCACACCTGGATTGCCTGTAAAAGGCCAGACAAAACAACACACAAACAGCAGAGAAGACATCAAATTTTCCAGAAGGTTTCAAATTGAAAGCTTCGCATTCCAATTACTGTCTTACAAGTATCGAGAGCTGTAACCCAAACAGAAAAAGCCAAAGGCCCTGATGCACATAGGAGAGCACAGAGCAAATCTCAAGAGCAAAGCACACCTGGATTGCCTGTAAAAGGCCAGACAAAACAACACACAAACAGCAGAGAAGACATCAAATTTTCCAGAAGGTTTCAAATTGAAAGCTTCGCATTCCAATTACTGTCTTACAAGTATCTATCTCATACACCACCACTTTTCATCATAGAGCATTTAACAAAGCAGGTCAGCACAGAAAGAACTTGTTCAAGGACACACAGAAAGACAGTGTCAAAACCAGGTATCCTGTGCTGCAAAGCTCGACCGCGCAGCCTCTCTAGATTAGTTCCCAGGGGCTCCAGCAGTTCCTGTGCTTCCTAATGGCACGGCGGCACAAAGCCAGCCCAGCAGAGCTCAGCCTTACGTCCTCGCCCTGCACATCACAGCCAGACTTCTGACACAAGGCCAGTACTACTCATTATGTTCTTAGAGAGCTCTTAAGGACCTTATAAAAACAAGTGAGGTGAAACAAACACATGCAACAAAGTGGCCTTTTGCAGATCACTTTATAAATGATTTGCATATGCAACATCAGCCAGATCCTCTGATTGAACAACAACCAAACAAAAGTCTATGGTCCAAGTTTCCTTTATAAGGCATCAGTATTTGCAAGCAACTGTTCTATATCGACTGTGTAAACAATAATAAATTGCATACGTAAATGACTTTTCCCATCAACAGTCTGCTGTGTCTGGCTCGGGAGCCGCTCCCCCGGGAAGCGGGAGGTTGGTCGCCCAGGATTGCAGGCAGGATTAAGAGCAATAGCTTTACTAGCTCATGGCAATGGAATCGGTGAGCTCATCAGAGAAGCCTGAGCTTCCCGACCCAAAGGTAGGGGGGAAGGGAACAGTTATCCTCCTTGTCACCATTTCTCTCCAGAAATAATCGCCACACATCTGGGGAGTGGTGAGGGGGTGTTTAGTTTCTGAGATCCTCCAAAAACTCTCAGAGTGGGACCAAGATGCTGCATTCATTTAAAAACCAGCCACTTCGAGCACACCAAAACTCATATTGCAACTCCGAAGGCGTCTGTGCCTTCGCGAGTCACATGAAGGCACTGCGTGCTTGAAGTCTCTGTGGGAGGCCTGCTCCATCATTTGGGAAATGGGCTGGAGCCCCCACGCAGGCTTTAAATGCCATGGGTTCCCCTGAAAGCCTCCCTGAGGCAGCACCGCTAAGCTGCAGTGACATTCAGACCCCTGCAGATGCTTTTGCAGCCTCTCTTCCCGTCCCCAGCAGGCTGCTGTGCAACCTCAGCACTATGAATATCACCTCGGGTCAGCGCTTCAAACGGGCATCCTGAAATGGGCTGGAGCCCCCACGCAGGCTTTAAATGCCATGGGTTCCCCTGAAAGCCTCCCTGAGGCAGCACCGCTAAGCTGCAGTGACATTCAGACCCCTGCAGATGCTTTTGCAGCCTCTCTTCCCGTCCCCAGCAGGCTGCTGTGCAACCTCAGCACTATGAATATCACCTCGGGTCAGCGCTTCAAACGGGCATCCTGGTAAGCGATGCCTCTCTTCCCGTCCCCAGCAGGCTGCTGCGCAACCTCAGCACTACGAATATCACCTCGGGTCAGCGCTTCAAACAGGCATCCCAGTAAGCGATTGCCCAAGTGAAAAGCACATCCACCCTCTGCACTCTCTTTCCACCGATACCCCCAAAAAGGAAGCAAAAGCAGCTAGATTACTTTCAACTTCTCTCACATTACAGCACATATGTAAGTCCATTTGGAGAACACAGACGCATTGCAGTGCACCTATTTGTAATACAGCACTTTTGTCACACAAGCATTGGCAGAGGGCTGTTATTTCTCAAGAAATAACATAGTACACATACCGCAGCAGAAGTTTCATTAATTACAGTGAATGTTGGAAAAAGGTATAAAAAAGGCAGAGTTAAATTTCCTGAAAATAGCCCTTATGTTCACAGGCTACAGAAAGTACAGTGTCAATACCTCCTTGGCCTGAAAACAGGGGAGGGAAGGGCTGCTTCCTTCCCTGGGATGAACCACCAAAAGTACATACTCCGGCAAATCACTTCTCTACATTTGTCATTTCCAACCACACATTTCACTTGTATCCGGTCCCGAGCCCTTGCACGTCGCTGCTCTGCACTTGTTACTTCCCCACTGCCGTCCAGAAGTGCCTTTATTAGTGGGGGATGTGACACTGACATTTGGACGGAGTTTTGGAGACTCTTAGGACACACACTACAGAAACAGCAGGGCACGGTTAATCTTCGCAGCACTCAGAAAGTGGCATGCCTCCCCAAAAGCAGCTTGGAAGCAGAAGACAAAGGAGTGAATCATCATATGAAGCTAGCAAAACTGGGAGGGATTTCTGGGAAGAGTGAGAAACGGCACTAAAAGAGTACAATTTTCAACTCTCCAAATACTCTGACAGTTCTCCCCCCGCTTTCTGCTCTCCTTCCCTCCCTTCATTACCACCAGTTTGGGAGTTGGTTTCAGGTACAATGCTTTATTCTTCCCTTCATTCTGGGCAAAATTCATCAGAGGAGGAGGGCATGTTTGTCTTGATTAACAAAGTGCTTCTTATTACGACAAGCTAAAATATAAGGGTAGGAAGGCACCACCTTGCTTTCTAGTGGAACTAAAAAGAGAAAAGCAGCCTTCACATTCAAAGTTCAAACTTAATGCAAATAGCTTTCCCTTTAACTTGCAGTTCTCCTTCCCTTTCTGGCAAAAAATCCTTTCTCTCCCCATGTTTCAATACAGATCAAATTGACAACAAGCCCGCTGATGTACAGAAGAGACAAGAGTGTGTGTTGTGGGATTCTCACCGGGACAAAACCGCTCCGCAGTGCCTGAAGGCACAGCACGCCCCTTCACCGGCAGCCCCAGAGCAAAAGCATCTGTTATGGGCAGGTACCTCCATTACATTGACCCTCACTTTATAAAGAACCTATTTCCATGCTGACTGCCCCACGCAACATTTCACGCGTCGTTAGCAACCCTCAAAGAGGGCACCAGACTAGTTAATCAAAAATCCAATGAAAGGGACAAGTGCAACGAAGCAGAAATCAGAACATGCAAAAGACAGTCCTGCCCCTAAATCTTCCTCCTACAAAGGCTGCTACTAGGGGACGGGCCTTTTTCTTTCCGAGAAACACAAATCTTGAAAGATATGTCCTTAATCCAATAACACATTGGCCACGTCAAGTCCCACCTAGCACCCAACGCTCTTTCTAGTGACTGACACATTCAGACTTTATCTCACCCCGGGAAGAAAAATGTACTCAGTCTGACCTAATTAGCACCAGCCGAAATTCTAGCATGGACAAGGCAGTTTGCCGCTATCGCAGCAGTCTAGATAAACGCTAGGTTCCAGCATGCTGTGAAGGCGTTATCAGTTATGTTCCTGCAACCACATCGGTATTAAGATGCTACCCTCCAGTCAAGATGGTTACTATCCATGAGAATTCATCCATACATTTCAGTACAAAGTAAAGGCGGTTTAATTCATAGCAATTAAGCAAAGGCAGAAGTGACAGCAAAAACCAAACCCAGATACTCAGCTGTTTTCCACATAAGATGTTTGAAGATATTTATATTCTGTTTTCCTAAGATACACTAATTTTTGTAGCTTTTTCTCCACCCCCTTTTGAGAAACTTCATTGCAATATAGTAAGCATGGCTCTCAAGCACAGTAGCTTGCAATAAAGTTTTCAGTAACTTGCAGGACTTCTTGGACTCAGGTGCTTCCTGCCACTGGCCAAGGCTGCTGTCTGCGCTGTGTATCACCACTGAGAATACGCTTCTTATCATTCATTCTTGGGTGTAACACTAGTTGAGATTGTATTTCCAAGGAGAAAAAAACAATTGTATCCACTATATTTATCTTGTCTCATTAAAGACTGCCTTTAATTACCAAGCATTGGAGGCAACTAGGAAGATGTGAATCATCTTCCACTCCCTGCCCCAAATCCACAGTAGGAATTTCGTGCACGTTCCATAGCGTGCGGGAGCTTGAAAACCATCGAAACGTGTCATAGCTGTTATGGCTCTCCAGACGCTGAGGTAAGCTGTTAGGGTATTCACTCCCCGACAGGTAAGATCTATATTCAGCAAAAGTCAAGCTGCATCTCCTGTCTTCATAGACCTTGGCATGCCTGCAGATCATTGGCTCATTTACAGAAATACAGCACACAGCTACATCCACCCACACCGAACAGTTCACCCCAATTATCACCCTTCTTTTTCTGTAACTCTTGCCCAAGCCTACTAAAGTGAGGTCAAAGATAGACTCTTCAATGGAAGCAAAAAAAAAAGAAGTAGGAAAGTTTAGACTGTAGCCTATTATACCACAAAACAAACTCATTTCATAAAAACAAGCTCATCGGCATGTGACCAGCTCAGCAGCTCAGGCTGCAGACAGAGGCTAACAAGGAACATGCAAAAAACCACCCTTCCCACACCGAGGAGGA